CAGCATTTTTTTTTTTTTTTTGCTGAACTATCCCTTTAAATTAAGTAGTTAACTGTCGTTTGAAAACTATACAGCAAACTGTTTAACTCTTTTTGTTTTACACCTCTGAGGAGAAAAAGATGGTTTCAACACTATTTCTCAGGTGTGTTCTCATGAGTTCACAGACAGAAAACCATGCTTAATGTTAAAATAATCAAATGTAATCATAGTAGCACAGACTACGATATTAACTTCTGCTGCTGTTTTTACAACATTTAGAAATTTGTCAGTTCCTGTTCAGCCAAAACCTATATTGTGTTAATAATCTGGCATACGACTGTGTTTATTCAGTTTCCCTTGTGCAATAAGGAGTCCTGGCTCAATGTTGTGTTGCACTCGCTGCTTGATGTAAAACATGGGTTCTGACGCAAAAGCAATTGAGAAGCACTGCTGTAAACATCACTGCAGCATACAAACATGTATACAAGGTTACAAACTTATGAAGTGGCTAAGTATGGCCACTGGATGCAGGCACTATATATCCATTCATATTTAATACCTTAATAACCTTAATAAAAGTGGGGTTAGTTCGTGGGGTTAGTGTGCTAACACTAGAAGGCTGAGAGACTGACATGGCGCTGGATTCAGGCTAATGGCTTTTTACAGCAAACGCTCCACTGAACAAACAGCTGCACTTACAGATCTCTGTTTATTTTCATACTCTCAGTATGTTCTATACAGGCATGTTTTAAATAAGTCTTTCTCACAAAGCTTACTGTCTGTAAATGTAGAAGGTCATTTAGTGTAGTGATAGTGTAGCGCTCAAGCAGAGATCCCCAGCCACACATTTTGATTTTGATCTTTTTTTTTTTTTTTTTGGTAAAAGAAATACATAAATGAAGAAGAAAGCCAATCTTTGTTGCATTATACAGTATGCCAGTTTTGTTTTTGTTTTTTGTTTTTTCATAATTTTGGATTCTGGTTCTTAACAAACTTTTCTTTTGGCATCTTCATGTTCAAGGCCTTATATGGTTCAATTGCAGAGATATTAGGATCTCAACTTAGCTTCAAGAATAAATTGTTAAAGTTTATACATATTCAGTGGTCAAAAGCCAAATGTGGGTCACTTTGTACACAGCTGATACTTTTTTCTTTTAAAGAGGAATGTCTGAAGGACTAGAAATAATGTTCAAACTAGAAATGTATATAACAATTGCACAGGAAAAAACTGTCTGAGTGCCTTATATATATTTTTTACAAAGTTTGCATGCCTGTAACCCAAGAAGTATTTAAGATATCTCAATATAATTTCAGATTCTGAATATTAGCAACTTTTCTTTTGGTCTTTTTTTAAGGCCCTATATGGTTTGGTTCCAGAGATATGGGGATTTCAATGCGGCTCCATGTGCAAATTGTTCAATTTTACTAATTTTCAGTGGTCGAAAACTAAATGACCCTATTATATATAGATATTTTGATTTTTTTATATAGATTTTTTTATTACATATTATTATTATTATTATTATTAGATATATTATATTATTAGCAACTTTTTGGTCTTTTTTTAAGGCCCTATATGGTTTGGTTCCAGAGATATGGTGATTTCAATGCGGCTCCATGTGCAAATTGTTCAATTTTACTAATTTTCAGTGGTCGAAAACTAAATGACCCTATTATATATATATAGATCATCAGAAAATAGGCAAAATGTGATTTTTCTGGAAATGTTCATTTGTTTTTTAATTATAAAAAAATCATGTAACTATAAATGTATTTGGAAGGGGACCTTTGTCACTAACATGGAAACTTTGAACTTTTTAAAAAAATCTATTCTTTCACTTATTTGACCATTTTTGAAACACCACTGATTAATTTACATGCCTTTTGCTTTAAAAAAAAAAAAAAAAAAGTATGACACTGTTATTTTGAGTCACTTTGACCTAGAAACACGTTTTCAATTTTACGCAATAAAAAAGTCTTAGCATCCCAATGATCTAAATATGTATTAGCTGTCAAACTGTTGATATTAGGAAAACTCTCTCTAAAGATTGCAATTTTAGACGGTTACATTAAGACATAAACAAAAAGTTACAATAAAAAACAACAAATATAAAATATATAAAATAAAAAATATAGAATATGCATGTATTATATATCTTATTTTGTGTATTTTTTAAAATTACTTAACCTATTCTTAATGGTTTAATTCAATATATATATAACTTTAGAACTTTAGTGTATTTGATAGTAAATACTATAACAATAGGTAATATTATAGAACAATATAATTTTTTAGTCATGGTACTTAAAGGGGTCATGAAATGGAGAATCAAAATCATCTCAATATTTAGACATATAAGTGGTTGCTCTACAATAAAAAACAAATTGCATGTTTCAAAACTAATTCTCCAGTTTCAAATATTAATTATTGTTTTCTACCCTTCTGAAATGCTTGGATTTGAATTTGGGAGAATTGTGACATGACAATTCTCCTTGACATGCCCTTTAACATGCGTCAATGTCTTATGTAATCAAAGAAGTGTGTTCTGAACAACTCACGTCTAAGAGCGATACTGCTGTTAGGTGAAGACCTTTTTTGGTGCAAAAAAATCTTTATAAACTAACCTCGAGAAACATAATATAAAAATCTGTAACTGCTTTTAATGAGTACCATGACCTGTGATCGGAGTAATACAGTATGTAAGGTCTCATGTAGACGTTCTTTGTCACAAAGTGGTTTACTGCTGTTTATGCATTGGTGAATCAAGCCAGTGACTAAATGATCAACTTCACACTGTTCCTGTTAGTTAGAAAACCATCTGTTAAACACTGCATTATCGACAAAACTCCTGTTATAACCAATGACAGTTTACACTGCTCAACAAGTCTCTTATTTACATTGTGTTTTCACTCTGTAGTATTTTCTGAAGTATTCATGAGATTGTAGAAATCATTTTGCAATAAGGAGATCATTATATTGTGTGCTCATGGACATGGCTGCAGTGCAGCGCTGCGACCTTTGATGCAATGGGAGCAGTTCTAAATATAATGCTATAATCAACACTTTTCCCATGTTGGCTGATCCGTTCTGTCACGGTGCGTGCGGGGAGATGAAGCGAGGACTCAATTGCAGGAGAAATGGTTATTTATTTTGATAATAAAAATGAAACAAAAACAAACTCAAACCACGAAACACACACAATGAGAAATGACGGATCAGCACAGGATGACAGACACCAGGAGAATAAATAGGAACCAAACGAGGAGGCTAACGAGGGAGACACAGGTGGAGCAACTTAAACTATAACGAGGTAACAAGATGGAAGGGGCAAGACAATAGACAGGAGAGAGCACATGACAACAGACAAACACAACACAAGCCATGTGCTCACAGAACAGTCATCTGGTGGCCCTCCTGGGCACACCCGCTGAAGACTGTGACAGGAATGTCACGGAATGTCAAATTTTGAATTAATAAATCAAAGTAGGACAGTACACTTAAATCAAATGGCGATATGGACTAGTGTCTGAATATTAGACTGCTGAAAGATTTAAATATGAATCCTGCATGTTCTGCATGTCTCCGTATGAACAAATGGTGCAGAACATATTGCTATTGTACAGTCTTGCTACTACTAATACTACTAATAAATTATAATGAAAACTTTATTTTTAAGGTATAATCACAAATTTTCTTCTATGTTTTAATTTTAACATTAAACCTCTGTTGTGCAGCACTTTGTTTAAAAAATAAAACTTAAAAAAAAAGAGTTTAAATAAAATTAAACTTAAAAATGAAAATGAAAGTTACATTTTATTTATTTATTTATTTATTTATTTATTTATTTATTTAAGATAAATTAAATTAATGTTTTATGTCTTTATTTGATTACCAGAAAAAAAATACATAAAAACTTTCAGAACAAAAACCAAAACATTTCATAGGGCCCTATTATTGTTTAAACTAATAACAACTGAATTAAGTTAATCACAGATGCTTTTGACTCTTAAAATTTAATTAAACCATTAAAATAGAAATGGATTTGGTAATATATACATATAGGTAGGTAGGAAGATAGATAGATAGATAGATAGATAGATAGATAGACAGACAGACAGACAGACAGATAGATAGATAGATAGATAGATAGATAGATAGAATTTGAGCAAAATAAACGTATTTTAATAGGGCCCTAAAAAATCGATTTTATATATATATATATAATATAATTGCTGTTAAATAAATTGTAGAGGTTTCATGATTTCAAATAATTAGACATGCTTTTTGATGAATAAAATTTAATTTAACCATTAAATCAGAGTCCAGAAAATTTTAAATAAATAAGTAAAGGCATCCAGAAAAATTAAAACGGAAAAAAAAATTGAATTTGGAAAACAAAATAAAACCAAAAATTAAACAGAATTCATAGGGCCCTACCTTAAAACTCATGCTGCCATTATAGTACTTTCATTTGGCAAATGTGCATATGAGTCTGCAATGTCTCTGACTGATCTGCTTATCTCACCGAATCTCACAGGAACAACAAGATGTGATTAACTAAACAGTTCACCAATTTAAAAATAAACAAATAAATAAAACTAAATAGCTGAACTATAACACATATCGATCCTGAATTGCTGTGCTGGTGTTTAGCTATGGCTCTTGCCTTTGTCTTACAGCACTGAGAAGTCATTAGCGAGAAAAGTCCCAGCAGGCCTCACAATGAGCTTGACGCCCAGTGTTCGGTGTGTGTGCTTGAAGACAATGATATACTCCTCAAGATCTCATCTGGGACAAACAGTTCCTACCACTACATCTACATTAGACATGACATTTGCAGACTGAAGAGGCTCATTAAGAGCTTTATTAGCCCTTCAAAGATGCTGACAATTGTTGTCTAGCATTAACTGTCCAGCATCATTTGATGAAATATCAGTGCTGTTAGCTGGAAGCATGTCTAGTTTTGGTTAGTGATTAATGGACTACTTTCACAACTACTCCCACATTCTACTGAATACGGTTCAGGTGTTTCCGGCCATTCAGACAGTTACAAGGAAGAACCATTCCTATGTCCATTGATTAAAACAACGAATTGTGTTCTCTGCATTAACATGATTAATACTGAACCTGCTGACATGTTCCTATAAACATATTTTCCTTTCCAAATGTGCATTCAGGATAATAAATACAAATATTTCCCTACTAACCTGCAGCAGTCCAGTGTCTTCTCATTAAAAGTGTTTTTGACATACTGATCATATTTCATACCTTTATGAGTCTCCATTTATAAATGAATTTGACTGACAAACATGATTTTTAATGCACTTAAATATTAAAATTCGATGGATGTTTATTTGTAACATTTGTAATGTTTATGTTGTGTTTTTAACTTCTATATTTAATCATTTTCTGTTATATATTTTATATAATCCTACTGATCAAAATACCTGGGGAGGAGGGCTTGTTTGTGTGTGTGTGTGTGTGTGTGTGTGTGTGTGTGTGTGTGTGTATGCATGTTTTAAGGCCATATCAGCAATAATGGCTATGTTCACGGCAACATTAAAAATATTATTTCAATAAGTAATTTACAATAATATGGAGGAGGCTTGTCATACACTATCACAACATTAAATGTATATCAACATGTATACTGCAATTCAGCCAAAAAACACAAGAGATATAATTTTTTGGCCATATCGCCCAACCCTAATTTAGGCCTATGTTCTCTACTAGACATATTTTTCATTTTATTTCCCACACTACTGTTTCAATTACAAGATATTTACATCAATGTTAATACTTGGTTAAGTCTAAACCTACTCTGAAACTCAAACCTTTTAGCTCTGAGTCCCAGAATATGAACAACAAAAGAAAATGAAATGCACTACTACCTGAAGTCCCTCCTGAAGCTCCTTTACTGTAGCTCCAGATCCAGCACTGGCTCGGACTCCATAAGCCAGCCATAGGGAAGATCCGAGCAGGACGGACAAAGCCCAAACGCCCAAGAAGCCCATCAGCGTCAGCCTGTCAAGAGAAGAACGTGTACATGATGAAGTAAGCATGCGCTGAAAATCTCCTCACCCTCAGACCATCCAAAATGTAGATGAGTGTCACAAAAGTAGATGAGACCATCACAAAAGTACGTTATTTGCATGTGCTTTAAAGCCTTGCTGATGAAACATTTCATTCACGTTCTGTTCTTATGTGCGCTTTTTCTGAGTGTGTACACATGAAGCGAGCGCACACTGCACACTAAAACAGCGCCTGATTCGCGTCTTAATGATTATGCGTCTAATTCTGTCAAAAACACACAAGGTTTACATGGACTGTAAACATAGTTGGTTATGTCTAAAATGAAAGTAAACAGTTGCGAGAGAAACGGATATGTGCAGCTCTTAAAGCGACAGAACTAAACATGCTGCCGCTTGTCATTAAAGGAATAGTTCACCTAAAAATTAAATATCTGTCATTATTTGCTCATTCACATGTTGTTCCAAACCTGTATTAATTTCTTTCTTGTGCTGAGCACAAAAGAAGATATTTTGAAGAATATGGGTAACCAAACGGTCAGATTTTTTAATAGGCTAACAAAGATAAAATAATAACAAGGATTTTTATCTTCACCCACTTTGGCCTAAATGTATGCCATTCTTTTTTATTTTATATTTTGTTGAGGTATAGGAGGTGTTATGCTTCCGCACTCTTCCATTTTTAGCAAATAAAGAAGAAACTTTGTCGAAAAGCAATTTTCGTGATGGTTTGTATTTTTTGTGCTCTGTATGGAACATCAGTGCCTGTTTAAGTGATGAACTCCATTACTTGTGTTAGTTTTCAGACATAATAACAGACGTTTTATATTTGTGCTACAACTGTTTGGCCTGTGCTACAAAACGTTCAACCTCTGTTGCACCAGTGCTATGTGCAAAAAAAGTTAACTTACAGCCCTGCTTCACATATTTTTTAGATATCCGTCTTTCGTTATTAGGAGAGTTTTGATGTTGTTATTGACATGTGCACTGATAAAACGATCATCTGTAACCATCAGATTCATCCGCACAACTCACGTCATGACCAAAACAATGTTCCTCCGCAAGTAACTTTTAGTTTTGTGCTTCAGCCGCTAGATGGCCAAAAGATAGACTAGACTTCTGTCAGACGAGCCTGTATGCATAATGGAAATACTGCTGGACATTTTTAACAGACAAAGATACAAACTTAAAACTGCGCTGTTATATATGCACTGACGAAAACATGCTGCAAACGTATTAAAAAGCATCTTTTAGAGCACCAGACATTGGCAGACCATTAAATTATATGAGTTATAAAGCATGGGTTATGTTCACAACTTGGATTGTGCACTTTTCTTGCAAAACCTTCAGTAGGCAAAAGGTCCATAAAACCGTTTTTAACAGTTGTGAGTTCATGTAGAAGTTGTGTAACCAATAAATATTAGAAATACAGAAATATTAGAAATACAGAAAATATATTTAGAGTTGCTGTCTTCTCTGAAAATGTTGCTCTGAAAAAGTTTGTGCAATAATAATTACTAAATAATAGATATGTGTTACCATGATTTAGTTTTGGCCTGTGATTCAAGTTCAAGCCATTGCTTTACTAATGCTGTATTAAGATGATTTATAGTCAAGTCAAGTCACCTTTATTTTCATAGCGCTTATGCAATCCAGATTGTGTAAAGGCAGCTTCACAGTGATACACAAGAAAATAGAAGAATTATGAAAAAAACAACTATGGAGAGATTCATATTCTGCTGTAAAGCAGTTCTAAAAGACTAAACATAGTGTCATTATTCAGATCAATCAGTTCAGTGTTGGTTCAGTTCAGACAGAGCTGCAGTCGCAATCACGAGTTCTGCTTCTCTAGATTTATTAAGCATAATCATCTGCAATATTTGCCTGCTGGTTATTTATCCTGAAACAAGCTTTTCATTAATCGATACATTTTCTGCCCAGTGTTTTCCTTTATCTTCACAATCTGGCAACCATGTGCACACGCTCACTCTACATTACAGAAAAATGCCGATGAGCTGAAAACAACAGCAAACATGTAAGCTGGAATTTAGCGATCTCTATTGAGATATTCAGCTCAAATGAAAGTGCAATACAGAAAGTCCGTTTTCCTTCACTCGGTCGTTCGCACAGTGTGCTGCGAAAGTGAACCGTGCAAGTTGACGTTCTCTTGATTTGTGCTTATGTGAAAGTGCAATAATTATGATGAAAGGTTGACAAAAAAATGTTATGAGTAATCATGATTAATAATTGTGATTGTATTTTTTGAGCAAAATAATGGTGACGCACACAATGACGCTGTATGAAATGTGCAGTATGGTCAAATGTCTTTCTGACAGCTAGTTGTGACGTGGTAAGCTCAGCCAACATAAGAAACGACTGTTGAAATTGTCTTCATTTAATCTAATCTAATCTAATTAATTAATCTAATCCACAAGCAATGGTCCTGCCCATGACATGCTCCACATTTAAGATGCACCTCGTGTTTTTTTTTTTTATTTATAATTTTGCTATATTCTTTTTTTGGCCATATCAGTGATGGATACATAGGAAGCGATATGGAGAAGACAGGAGAAGAGCATCAGGAAAGTTCCTGAACGTGTGCACGGCCCACCAAGCTAACTGCATTCACAATATCTGATGAGATGCACAATATCTATAATACCCAGTTTGGTCACAGTTCAGGTCCAATTCTCATTATTAGCTATGAATTTTGCCTCAATAAACTCCTAATTTGCTGCTTCTTAATAGTTAGTAAGTTAGTTGTTAGTTTAGGTATGGGGTGGATTAAGGGATCTAAAATATGCTCATGCAGAATAAGACATTAATATGTGCTTCATAATAAACAGCCAATATGCTGGTATTATGCATGCTAGTTAATACTAAGAATTGAGCTCTTGTTTAAACTTGGTTACCAATCATTGCATTCAAGTACTACCTTAGATGTGTGACAAAACATTGAATACTACAGCTGACAATCACTTTAAAGTTTCTCTTTCTCATCTTAAGAAGACGTGTTAGTCACACCACACACTGAAGCACTTTTCTGATTCATCAGCAAACACGTTCAAACTTCTGGCTGCTCTGTAGACATTTCACGTAGGTTTTCGCGTAGTGTGTGTGTAAGTGTAAGTGTGTTTCATCACAAAAGCTTCGAGCTAAAATCTGAACAGTAAATATATTTAATCAATGTGAATAAATATAACATCCACCAAGAAATTCAATATTCTATGAACTGATGCATAAGCCGTTAGTTTTCTTTACATATGAATACTAATGAAATCACATCAGTTAATCTGTCGGTTGGTTCATCTGTGCCATCCTAGATTTTTCGTTATCATTTGTTCATGCATGGATAACTAGTACCAGCTTACAATATTATACTCACATTTCAGCTAAAATTGGGTAATGACATAAAATAATTCTATGCTATGCTAATTATATCTGGCTTTACATAAACAAGCATCTCATGTAAACTGACAACAGCAGTGACAACAGATGATTTCACAAGCTAAAGCTGCTCGGTATGAATATTACCAACACAAATTGATGTCTATTACCAAACAAGAGAAATGTTTAAATGCTTTACTGATGTAAACTGGATGAAGAGGAAATTTGGAAATGATAATAGTCTTTTCACCTAGAGTCAATCACAAAGCTATAAGAAAGACTCGTTAGCTGTTACGGTTCATCTAGAGGTTGAGTTTACAGAGGCTTTGCAGAAAAGGTAAGCACATATTGTGAACGAACAAAATGAAAAAAAAAAAAAAACTCCACAATATTTGTGTAAACAAGACCACGGATCCAAACAAACATCTTCAAATATTGCAGCAGGAACGTGAATCACCTTACAAAGGTTAAAAATAACTTGTGTGACATTTTCAAGAGCTTTGTTGGATTGCAGATTACACGTTGAACCGCAGCTGAGCAATTCTCAATACGGATTGAATCAAGTGATGAATTGGGACTGGGAATAACAATCAGGCACTCTGTATGACTGCATGAAGACATCACATGGTGCTATATTCTGCTGCTTGATATTAATCACCTACATGCTCTAGATCACATCTGATCTCCCGGTGAAGCATCATCATTGCGTTTGAATCAGACAGAAATATCACACCATCCCTGTGCCTCTATTATCAGTTCATATGAGTGTGCAATCCACTCGGATGCTCTACGGCAGCGGGTCGCAGGTCTGTTCTGATGGGGTTTTTGACAGCAGGGAACACAATGCCAAACAATTGCTACAGTAGGCTTATCACAATAATTAAGAATGGGAATAAAAAAATAAATAAAATAAAAATGTTTGCATCCAATCAAGCTAGTATATGTGACCCTGGACCACAAAACCAGTCACTGGAGTATATTTGTAACAATAACCAAAAATACATTGTACGGGTCAAAATTATTGATTTTTATTTTATGCCAAAAATCATTAGGACATTAAGTAAAGATCATTTTCCATAAAGATATTTTGTAAATTTCCTACTGTAAATATATCAAAACTTAATTTTTGATTAGTAATATGCATTGCTAAGAACTTCATTTGGACAACTTTAAAGGCGATTTTCTCAATATTTAGATTTTTTTGCACCCTCAGATTCCAGATTTTCAAATAGTTGTATCTCAGCAAATATTGTCCTATCCTAACAAACCATACATCAATGGAAAGCTTATTTATTCAGCTTTGAGATGGTGTATAAATCTCAATTTCAAAAAATTGACCCTTATGACTGGTCCAGGTTTTGTGGTCCAGGGTCACATATTTGGGCAAGCAAACTACACAGATGCCTACATGGGCAGGTTGTGTGATGCCCTTATCCTCCAAAACCATGAACAAAAACTCACAAAGTAAAAGAAAATACAACCCAGGTCAAATTTTTGCTCTTGTTCATGTACGTACAAAATTTTCAGGTCATGTTCATGGTAATATCATATGTAATATGATATCATATCATACCATATTACTTTTGTACCATAGACCATTTTGGTTAGTTCAGTGTAAAGTCTGAGTCCTGATGTTGAAGTGAATGCCCCAACACAACACAGTTTCAGAAGCAATACATACTATGGGTAATAATAGCATTGCATTTAGTATAACAATAAAATAAATATTACAATAAAATCGTGAGACATTTCATTAGCTCTTATGCCAAATGTATACTGTCTTTCTTCCGATACACACTTGCTGTAAAAATGTTTTTCTCTTAAATTTACGGCAAAAATTGGCAGTTGTGCCAGAACATTACATTACAAAATACAAAATACAATGATGATTTTACACACATTTTAGTGCCTGAAATTAAGTAACGTTAATATACCAAGCTATCTGAGCTGTTAAAATCTCTAATAATAACAGATACACAATACAGCGGAAGGCAACACGATGACTTCAATTTCACCAAACGTAACCTCTCCAGTAGCCCTCTGTGACTAATAATAACATAAAGACAAATGAAAGTGTCACCCACACAGACACAAAACACCATCATGCTAGCTCAAATAACGATGCATGCTATAAACATGTAATAAACTAACATAAATAGCACAGTGAAAATGTAATGGTTTGCATGCAGGGAATTCTGGGAACGACCAGAATTTCTCCATGAATTAGAAGGAGATTCATACCTTTTACTTACAACAACTCTTCAACAATATTCTACATTTACCAAATATGTTACCGTTTAACCAATTAAACGTTTTTACTGTACACTTTTACGTTCTCCTCTGTTACAATAACGTTTCACAGTGTGCATCACCTTTTCAGTCATAAAGTTATGTGATAATATATGTAGGCTATATATAATAAACTATTATAATGTGTTATGGCTATGAATAATGCGATAAAACAATAAGCTTACTCTGTAAGAATAAATGAAGGTAAATTCTGATTAAACATGAGCTGTAATAAAGCTTGCTGGTCTAAGTGCAGGTCGATCAAATGTCTGGTGTACCTCTGATGTTCTGAGCCTGAATCTAGCCGCTGTGTGAGAGTTTGAGTCAGATGCACTAATCACCTCCGCTGTACCGTGAACCCAGTGCTCGTGCAGCTGCCTAACCAGACCTCATGTTTGGGCGAACGATGCCCACAGCCGCTCAGAAGTGCTGTCTATAGGTAGACAGTGACACATAAACGCTGACTGCACAAACCAAGAGTCCAGTAAAAACTCCTGTTGAGGTACTCGATACAAACAAACGGCGTAAAGCATGAGAATCCAGTGCAGACGCAGAGCGCGATGGAGACGGAAAGCCGCTGGCGCTCAGCGCGACGCAGCGCAGAATAAAGTGACTGTAGCTCGTTACCTGTCGTGTTCCTGCGCGGAGACAGAAATGCTGCGTGAGATGCGCGTTATAGGTGTCCAGAGACTCACAGACCCTCACAGTCCAGGCGAAGGAAAGAACACACCCGCTCTCACTCCATCCTTCAACTGAGAGTGACCCGCTATTCCAGCTCACCCTATTTCAACAGCTCTCTCTCTTACACACACACACACACACACACTATATATATATAACACACACACCGCTGTTGAGAAGATCCCTGTGTCTGCTGCACTGCTGTCACACTCCTGCGTGTGTGTGTGTGTGTGTGTGTGTGAACAGAAACACTTGACAAGAGACATGCTACTACAGTCATCACATTAAAGTCACATTTGTAACAGTACTGTGTACACAGTAAAATAATAATAATAATAATAATAATAATAATAATGAATACAAAAAGCAGTGTTGTGGACCTGAATGTAGCTTTAAATGTAAATGCATCGTATAATGCCCATTTAATGGCAAAATGTAAAAACAATTATGAAAAAAAAACTTTAAGGAAAAAATGTTTGCCGAACAGAAACTGTATTTTCTGTAATTTGTATAAAATTATTATATATAAATTGCAAATGACAACTTGAAATGTATGAAAAATGTTCAAGTTCAAATTCATTATGAACTTTATGAAGCCTTTTAATGGTAACCTTTAAAAGTGAAAACAATCATGAAATACACAAATACAAAATATTTAAAGAACAAAAAATAAATTTAAAAAAGTGTAAACAATCTTGTTAATGTTTTACAATAAGGTCCTATTAGGTAACATAAGTTAATGCATTAACTAACATTAACTAACAAAGAGCAATACATTTGTTACAGTATTTATTGATCTTTGCTAATGATAGGTAATAAATAGCACGTAATGTTTAGTTTATGTCAGCTCAGGTCGAATAAATAATATTAACAGACACAACTTTTGATTTTAATCATGCATTAGTAAGTATTGAAATTGACATGAACTAAGATTAATAAATGCTTTATTTCCATGTTAAATAATGTAATTAACTAATGTTAGCTAATGGAACCTTATTGTAAAGTGTTGCCAAAATCATACATTATATATAAAACACAAACTTGCCCTTGAGCTAACATTTATGATTTTTTTTTTTTTGTTCTGGGAACATAGTTCAACCTTCAAAATTCACTTCATTTATTTCAGTGTGGTTTCCCAACAGTTATAAAAATATGATCAACTTTAGTTTGAAGGACAGAGTTCCCCGAAATTATCTTAAATTAAGAGGCGTTTAAAAACATGGTGTTTGAAATTAACCACTGCTAGAAAAAAAAAACAAGCTTTTGTATTATTAGACTTTTGACTCAAAACTGTATAGTAACTGAGATATACAGTGGGTATGGAAAGTATTCAGACCCCCTTAAATTTTTCACTCTTTGTTATATTGCAGCCATTTGCTAAAATCATTTAAGTAAATACGCCAGTTGGTGGCAGCAAGTCACTGTTAAGTGAGTCATTGCGATCATTCAATCGATTTGTTCAAAAACAGTAATTTATTCAGGAACTAAATGTGCAGCGGCAATTCTGCTTTGACTTGGGTGTACCCACTGTATGTGAGCCAACAAACCCTGGTGTCTCCTACATCCACTAACAGACCACAGAGGAGGAAAAAAGCATCATTTCACAGAAATCAAATCATTTGAAGTAATGGCACAAAGAAATAACTGTACAAAGAGGCGCAGTATACGATAAATAAAAGAATTTTAAAAAGCCTTTGAGTGCATATGCAACAGAAGAGTGTCCCTGTAAGACTGTGTCTCCTCCGCTTCAGCATCAAAGGCAGAGAGGAGGTGACACAGTTACAGGGGATAATGCAGGGTGAGCCATCAAAGTTGCATGTGCGCCTGAAATATTCATGCCCTCTGTAAGATTCATCACAAAAGAGAAAAGAGCTTTATTAGTGCAGCAGCCAATTGATTCCATGCAATATTGCAAAACGGCAAAGTGAGTGATGCAACCAAGGATTAATGTGCTTATCATCCGAAAAAACTTTCACAGATCAAGGTTCTTCTGTTAGTCAACAGCTGTTCAAGGTGCACAAGTTAAACCCTTTGATATGCTCTTTGAATCGAACAAAATTTCTCCCAAGTTACAAGAGGAAGCCTTGCTGATGAGAAACACCTGCCTGCGCTGACAACCCTGTCCTCGGCATCACTTGACAAGGCTTTTTTCTTATAACTTTCAGCCTCTTGCCCCAAAACTTTCCTGAGGAAGTTTCTCGTAGGTTTCCAACTCATCTGAAGGGCTGTTTTGACAACACTGAAACACTGATTGCTGCAAACCTAACATCTCTGGATATGAAAGGAGGCACCTTTAAAGCAATCCGAATAAGGGAGTATATGATAGAGTCAACTTGGCAATAGAAAATGCATGGATTCTGATCGCTAATGTAAGTTGAAGCGGATAAACGGTGGTGGGATGCTTGCCCTCTGAGTTTCAAAATGTTATCATTTGTGACCTCCATTCCTTGAGTTGAAGGGTTTACACTTATCAGCAGTGTTGGGGAAGTTACTTTTAAAAGTAATGGATTACAATATTGTGTTTCTCCATAAAAAGTAACTAATTGTGTAAGTAATGCATTACGTTGCTTTTGCGTTGCTTTTTGTCACCTGGTCTGGGCTTGCTTATTTATTTTTAATAACACAAAAAACAAAAGTTTTATTTTTAGTAACTGTAAAGGTTAAATTAATAAGCCTCAGCCTGAAGGAAGTGTCTCTGCACCTCACTCCCAATTTCTCTCAACATGAGGACAGGAGAGCTGTCAGTGAATAAATGAGAAAACAAACTTGTGTTACTTATTTGAAAAAGTAACTCAGATATGTTCTTGTAAATGTTGAGAGAAATTGGGAGTAAGTGCAGAGACACTTTCTTCAGCCTGAGGCTTATTAATTTCACTTTTGGTGTGAAAGGGCCTTTACAGTTGCCAAAAATATAACTTTTGGGTTTTTTGTTATTAAAAAACAAGTGAGCAAGCCCAGCCCAGATGACAAAAAGTAACAAAAAAAAGTAACGTAATAGATTACTTTCAATAAAAAGTAACTAATTGCTGCTTATTAATAGCTAGTGAAGTAGTTGTTAAGCAGTGTTGGGGAAAGTTACTTTTAAAAGTAATG